ATAGACCTTTACCAACGACAAAGTTAGGGTGCCCGAATAGAGGACTTGGAGTGGTTACCAAGTGGTCATACCCAGTAATTCTCATGAGTCGGACGAACCTTTAAGAACTAAGAGTTACCCTAACCTTGCAAAATAAAAAAAAACACACCTGTTTTTCTAACTTATTAAAGTCATTTTCGTTTAATAGCTTTTCTGCTTCTTCTAAAAAGCGACGGCACCAGGACGTGTCAAGGTCATGCCAACGGGAAGTAACCGGCTTAGTGGCAACAAGCGCGTCTCGACAATGGCGTAGAAAGCCCCAAAAAGATTTTTTATCTCGCTTCAAATACGACGTAAGTGCTTCGTAACCAGGATATTTTTGTTTAGAAGTCATGGTATAAAAACTTAGTAAAAATATAGCTTTGTTGAGGTGCTAGAAAAAGTACAAGAATTATAAAAAAAACGCGAACCCTTAAACACGTAGTTTCCCCCTTAAATAACGCGTATACTGCCTCGGGCTAAAAAATCTTACAAAGAACGTGCCATGTGTTAATTTATCGAATTTGGTTATCTTGCACTTCACAAGTGCGTTACACATGCATTGGAATTTCCTATAGTTTTCGAATTTCTTCTGTAATACATGTTATTGGTGTATCGCATGACCAAATGATGCATGTAGATTCTATTACATTCGAATTCATTCTATGACACATATCACATGATTTTAGATATCATAGATATCAGCTCCGCTATATAAATACTAATACTCGAACTCGAGATTCTTTACTTTTCCAAAATAATATATTCAGAATGATTCGTTATAGACATCTATTCCTTGCAAAATACAACATTCTTGAAGAAATGGTTTCAAAATTTAATCGCACTAAAATTGAATCACATATTCATAATGTATAAAGTTATTAAAATCAAATAGGTCTGAATTCCTAAAATACGATATAAATCACATAACTTCCATAAACACTACAAATAAGTCATATAAAATGGTTAGCTTAAGTGAATTACGTAGTACCAATTGTACCGATGTTGAATGGGATGAATATGTGAAGATACCACAAATTCTGAAGGGTGAAACACCCAGTAAATGGATGAAACAGATTTGGGAACGTCTTACATATTTCAGAAAGAATGATTTATTACCTTATAATAGTAAAAAATATCTCGAAGCTAGGAAATTAATAAGACTTTGGAATAAATATCAAGGAAATTAT